TCCTTCACCATGTGCTTTTTGAGGAGGCTTTGTCAGGGTGACGCAGTGGTGCGTTAGTCCTGAATCGACACGCTTTCGGAAGCCTGCCGCACGCCTGCATGTTCAGACACACTGAGACATATTCCAGGGTGACCCCCCCCCATTTATCTGCTTCTGCAGCCTGTCTCTACTCTGGTGCTCTGACTGTTGCCCCCCCCCCCCCCCCCCCCCCTCCCGCCCCCCCGTCCAAAGCGGGGGGGGGGGGGGGGGGGGGGGGGGGGGGGGGGCTGAGCGAGATTTGCTCAGTCAGATTACAGCCGTGATCTTAAATACAATCAAATCCTCTCCTGTCACCTCCTGGGCTCCTGTCTCGTCCTGGTGTCCCTTCCCCTCCTCCCTCGTTCTCTCATTCCCTAGTCTTCTGTTAATTTCTCTCCATTTTTAAAATTCTGCCTGTCTCCCTCCTTACACGGTCTTACCACTTTGTCTGGCCCAGAATGCCTTGCGGCAGGGTTTTGTCAGGAAGATGACTGGGACCGCCTGTCTCTTGCATGTTGCTTAAACCAGTTTTGCTACAGATTGTGGCATCTTTGGGCGTTCATGGCTATTGGTGAATCGAGGCTTTGACGTGTACAGTGGGTGGGACTAACGTGCTGTCAATCCAGACTGATGGACCAAGGTAGCCGATAGGAAACGAGATTAAACACGGTAATCTCTCCCACTTCAATTCTCACAAAGGTCATTTCACATGAATGTGCATCTGTGAGCTGAAACATGCTTGAAAATGAGAGGAGGTGAGGCATGACCACCCTAAAGAGGGGGTGAAGATCCCAGGCCGGGAATGACCGTGCCGGAAAGGCGGCAAACGCGCTACGGCTGCGTGTCTGCCAAATCTGGCTGACCAAAACCCCAGCCAGACCCATCTGTGTGTACGGTAAGACCGCAAGTGCCCCGTCATATGACACTGTAATCCCTGCTCTTCAGGAAGCGGATCAAACGATGGATATTAATTTAAAGGCTTTCCTCGTTAAGGATTAGCAGAGGATGCGGTTTGTGGGCACTGGGGGAAGCCCAGGTCACCATATTCCAAGGGATATGTCCTGTAACCTGGGAAGCGACTGCGAAGCCGGGGATGCTGGCCGTGCTGGAAGGTGGTGGCGATCTGTCTCGGTCAAGCTAGACCCTGGTTAGCCAGGTCCAAAGATTCTGGAATCTTCCATATGCCCCCCCCCCCCCCCCAGACGTTTTCTTTATAGGCCTGCCGCTTTCAGCTTCCAAGATTCCCAGGCAGGGCCCCTGCGGTGGGGGCACGGGGCCTAGCCGGGGGTGCCCTCCTGGTCCCGTTTTTTCGCCTTCTGTGGCGGGTAGCAGTGGAGGTTGCGGGCATGCGGGGGCTGGAGGGCAGGCTATGTTGCTGAGCTGCGGATGGCTTCGGGCAAAGATGGCAGAACTGGGAAAAGCTGTTGCCAAGTTCAGATCACAAGTTCGGATTCTCTCCAGGTGACCTTGCTGACTCAACCCCCCCACCCCCCCACCAGAGGACACCCCAGGGTCAGGGGGGCCATATCCCATGACTGATTCTAGGGGCATTAATTACCCTCCTACTGCACCGGTCACATGACTGATGTGCATCCCTGTGGCTCGGGTAGGTGACACAGTGACATGGTGACACAGTGACATGGTGGCACAGTGACATGGTGGCACAGTGGTCCTTTGAGCTGCGTGTTCATTCTCATCGACGCCTGGCATGATTCCTGCCGGTCGCTCACGCTCGCATTGTACGGCTCCCGATGGGAAAACAGGTTAATTACATCGTCTGCCGAAATCGCTAGCATGTCAGTGTGCCAGTGTCAGCTGCAGAAGCTTGTCTGGGATGCAGTGTGATTGCAATGCAGCGTATCTGGGATGCAGTGTGTTTGCGATGCAGCGTATCTGGGATACAGCACATCCAGTGCGTCCAAAGTCCATGGAAGCCACTGATTTGGATCAGCGACCACATTAGCGAAGGATGACAGCTGGTTAATGAACAGAGTGGCTGTCTCACCCCTAGAGGGCGCTCCTCCATTGGGGGGGGGGGAACCGTGTAATGCCAACTAGACTGTCAGCTGTTTGTCCCCCAACAGGCTGAGTTGGGGGGTTTTGAGCCCAGAGGGTCCGTCAAAGAGGAGTGTGTTAATGGAACCCGCCGTTGATCCCGACGCCCCCGCGCTTAACGGGAGGGGCTCAGAGAGCCGCGGTAACCCCCTCCACCTGCCTCTGACGCTCAACGTCACTCACACATCCTCTGTCATCTTTCTCCCAGTTCTTGCAGAAGCGAAGCACGACTTTTCCAAAAAAATTTCATTTTATTCTGTTCACTGTTTAAAATGCGGAGACACACATGCGATGCAGGGCGTGCGGGGGGGCGGGGGGGAGTGGCATGATGGGGAAGGCGAGGCAGACAGAAATGTAAATGCGGCTGGGGAGCCGTTCCTCTCCACCGGGTCACTGTCCCTGGTTGTTACATCAGAAATGTTTTAGAAGGTTTAAACCCCCCCGTGACCCCCAGCCCGCGCCCCCCTGTACCGCTGTCTCGCCGCCTCTCTGCGATGGTGTGAGACAGACACTGTGCCAGGCACCTCCGAGAAGAGGGGGTCAGTTCTGTACCCGTTAATGAGTCATGGCTGCTCTCAGACCCGGATTGGCTTGCCTTCCCCCCCCCCCACCCTCCCATGAGGTCCCAGAGCACTCCACTGGATCCATGCTGACCCTCACAAAGTTCCCGCCAAATCTCTCCCCCCACCGCCCCGAGTTATGGAGGGTGCGCCGGGTGGAAGAGGCGTCACATGTGCATGCAGGATCAAACAGAATTATCACTACGCTGAGAGGCTCGGAACTGGAATGACGAGTCTTGCTCTGCGCACCCAGAATACCAGATAAGCAGTGATCGCTGGGTGCTCGGGCGCCCAGACGCGCCAACGGAACCCCCCAGAGAATGGGGGGGGGGGGCACTCTCCAGCTCGGAGACTCGACTCTCACTCTGTGGCTCTGCTGACCTCTTGACCTCATGTGTCATGTGATCGATACGCCCAGCCGCTGCCGGGGGGTGGGGGTGGTACTCACGCCATAAGTCCTGCCGGGGGAGAACCTCTCCAAGTGTGCTAATGCGCTAACGAGCTCTAACGAGAGTGTAATTTATGTGCCGGGGAGCGGCCTCTGTTAGTGGCGCGTGTTCCGCTCGTTAACGCGCCGTGTCACTTCCTGCGGGCTCCTGATGTTCCCGACCCGACGGCTCCCCGCGGATCGATAATCATGGCACCATCCCTCTTCACACTTTGTCACCGTCTTGTCCCTACACTGCTTCATCTTCTCCCTCTGCCAGCTCCCCCTCCCCAAGTCCTTACGCACCCCATTTACCCACAATCCCCCAGATCCCCCCATGTCCTCCCCAGTCCCAGTTCCTTCCTCTGTGCTGCTTGATTTGTCACTTACAGATCAGTGGTGTCCCTCCCAGTGGGGTAAAGTGCCTAATTGCCTCGGTGACGACCACAGCTGTGCAGGGCGACAGGCCGTCGTGGCTACAGGTGTCTGCCTCCCAGTGAATTACAATAATAATGGGCTCCGCGCTCCGCCGCTGGAGTGTCGCACACCGCGGCTGACCTGTGCTGGTTAGGGCGGCGGCCGCCTGCTCCCGCAGAATGTTAATAACGGCCCAGACTCGTGCTTTGATTACCGTGCCGGCACACGGGCAAAAAGAGCACTCTGTTTGGAATGCGGGTGCTGGGGAGAGAGAGGGAGGGAGGGAGGGAGAGAGAGAGGGAGTGAGGGAGAGAGGGTGGGGAGTGAGGGGTCCTGTCTGTACGGCGTGTTTCGCTGGCGACCAGAGAAACGACGGTTCAAAGCGACGTCGGTGACATAATCGCCATCTGCCAATCGCTGACTGGGTTACCTCATTTCCTGTCACTCTGTCTGTGGGCACCTGCTGGGGTAAATCAGACGTGATATTCCCACAGTTTGGAAGATGTCATTTTCCCTCTAATTTTCTCTGAGACAAAACTTCCCATCCTAAAACAGGAGAATCCACACCTCAGTGAGCGCTGTTATTTAAAGAGCCTTCAGACACCTGATTGTGGCTGTATCCATGACTCGAGCATGTGAGAGATTTTGGGCCTCTGCCCTGTGTATCTTTCAGACCCCCCCAGCCCCCCCATGAGGAGGAAAGCTGACACTTACTGTGCCACAGATGGAGATGAATAATGTTTTGTTTGCATGCATTTTCAGGGCTGTTTTGCTGTTTTGTTAAAGCGTGCCTATCTGCTTTGCTCTGGTACAGTGCGCTCTCATAACAGCGGCTTGGTTGCGGGTCTGAGTCAACCCTCAGCCTGTACATGTATATAATCCCCATGCTCTTGTGGATTTTCCCAGGATGCCCCAGTTTCCTCCTGCAGTCCAGCTGTAGTTGCGTGATCAGGGCCTCACTGCTGCTGGCAAAGGTGACCAGTGGGATTAGCCTGCTACACCGGAGACATGCCTGCCCTCCTTTCACTGATCTGCATCGCCGTGGCGGCGGGCTCAGCCAATGGGAATGTGGCGGTCTGTGATGTGGGGTCTGTATAACGGGCTCGGGAATATCCCGGTGCAGGTAGCAGGACAGCGGGCATGGCGCTCATCAGACGCCCATCCGTCGGCAGAGACGGTCTGTAGATTCTCCTTGCTGGATTTGCTGGACTGGCTCTCAGCAGATGCACTTCCACTGAGCTTAGATTTGCCGTTGACAGTTGAATTTTCTACGTGCAGGTAAATGTACATTGTCGCACAGACAGGATGTGAGAACGTGAAAGCTGCAGCTCTCTGCTGACCAGGGAACTCCCTCACTGCCTCTTCCGTATCCTTATTTACCTCTGCCAGCCGCCTCCCGCATAAACGGTTAAATTGAAAATGTAAATTCTGTTAATTTAATCGTATGAGAGTGTCTGCAATAGAGGTACTAGCCTGACTTATCTTTAAGCTTAATGGAGTGTTCCCCCTTCTCCTCACCCCAGCCCCCTCCAACGCTCAGATCGTCCACTCAGGGCAGGCCTGCTTGGTGAAGGAGGACAACATCAACGACAGGATCTACACCATCCGCGAGGGTGACACCCTGGTGCTGCAGTGCCTGGTGAAGGGCCACCCCAAGCCACAGGTATGTCCCCGGGGCCATCCCGCTGAGGGCCATGGGGCAGGGGCAGAGGAGGTCCTGACAGGTACGCACAGCGCCCCCTACTGCAGGGCGAGCAGCCGGCGGTGCCACGGGATACTTCCAAGCCATTATCGCTATGGAAACCGGAGGTGAGGATCTTGTCGGCGTCTCGCTGTCACGGAGACCCGGGGGGGGGGGGCGTGCGAGAAGGCGAGGGGCTCAAGCTTCACGCCCTACGTGACATTGCACGGCTTGTTTAAACCCCAATTCTTCCTGAATAACTTTACATGGCGTTAAGCTGGTTTTTAATTATGTTTCTGACCCTATTCCAATTGACGTTGCTGCTGTGTGGCGTTCTCACACCTTTCCAGCTCCGTCGGAGAGGTTTAATGAGACTCACACTAACATGCCACTTTCTCCTGGACTGGCTCTGCATCCAGAGAGTAGAGTTACTCTGCGTGGGAGGTTAAAAGGGCATGTTTTCTAAACCAGTGCTGGCTCTTTTTTGCTTTAAACCTTTACCTTGGGGTGGCGCCTTGGTTTGGGAATAACGCGGTCGCTGCAGGCCTGCAGGGTTGGGCGTCACACCCTGTTTCCCAGCCATGTCAGTTTCCACCTATGATCCAGAAGTGCAGTTAGGTTATCTGGCATGGCTAAATCACTGATACAGTGCGATGGGCGCACGCCAGTGATGGTAAGGGAAATCCAGGCAGCAATGGGGAAGGACAACTTCGTATTAAAGAATGGGAATAAAGAAAAGTGCCGCGGAACATAAAATTTGTATTTGAGGTGAAACCCTGCCCCCACCTGCAGGTGGCGCCCTTTTCTATGAGCATGCTGCATTATTTCAGGTATTAAATGCTGCTCGTGTCAGGACTATCTCACTGATGCGCTCAATGTGACGGCAAGAGTAGAGGGTGGGGGTGTTGGGTCATTGGTGGTGGGGGGGGGGGTCATTGGGACAGCGGACAGGAAGTGTATATTCTGCAGTGTGCACACAATAGCATATGCACTGAACTTTATACTCTGTAGTGTGCACACTGTAGCATACACTCTGTAACATATACACTGTACCTTATACTCTATAGCATGCGCACCATAGCATTTACACTGTACTTGGTACTCTGTAGTGTGCACACTATATACACTGCATACACTCTGTAGTGCACGCTCTTTAGGGAGGTTTGGAGAGGTAACAGCCCCTGTCTGCGGAGGAAATGCTCACTCATTGTGCGGGTGACCCTCTCGTAGCAGCTCTGGCTTCACCTTTAATCCTTCATGAATGTATTCATAGGACAGGTGTGGGGACACGAGCAGCCCTAAAGCCGCCTTGTTTCTCACTCACAGGCGGCAATTAAATGATGTCGGCTGGACGGGGCTCGCTGTGTCACCCCGTGGGTGCGTGAGCGTGAGCGTGAGCGTGTGTACGCTGTGTGTGCAACCATGCATGTCGCATGTCTGTGTTTCTGCTCGCTGGAGGCTTTTGGGGATCATTGTCGAGGCTGAGGAATGTGATGCCTGGGATTTGGCCGGGTGGGGGGTGAACAGGACAGGGTAACAGGCCGCCATGGTGACCGAACCCCCCCTCCCATTCAGATTCTCCTTGAGTTGGCACTGCTTGAAGAAGTGTTGTCATGGGAGCCTGGCAGAGCACCTGCCCCCTGCCCCCCTCCCCCATCACTCGACTTCAGCATTCAGACTACTCCAACCCCCCCCCCCCACACACACACACATATATCTCTACTGTGTCTGGGACAGACCTGTGGTCTGTTCTATAGTTCTGTACCCAGCTCTGATGTGTTTGAACACTCTCCATCTGAATGGCGCCCCCCAGTGGTTCCCTTCGGTCATTGCATGCTAGACATATAGCTTGCCTGCAGTTCTGAGAGCGCAGGAGGTACCTTGATGCCCTTGGCGATGTGGCAGTTTGGCCTGGGGTTCAAGGAGGATTAAACCCACCCGCGGTGGTCTTCAGCGGCCCGCCGGACACGTCACGTAGTCGACGTGGCTACTTGCACTGTCGCAGTGGGTGGGGCGATGATGTCAGGTTTCTGCAGTGCTCTTGCTGCGTCCCAGTGGGGATACTATGTTACCACCTGACCCCCCCCCCCACCCCCTGGACCTGCAGTGTTGCTATGCAGCCGTCCAAGAAAGCGGGTCTCTGATTAATACCTCAGTCCCCCCGGACCCGTCCGATCGCAGCGCTGCACCTTTCCCATCGATCTCCTGTGGTTTCTGGAAGGATGGTGAGACGTGCTGACAGATGTGCAGACACATGTGCGGGTTGACGCCACGCAGTGGCCGCCCCCTAGCTGCACACTGCAAGCATAGCCCAGCTTCCAGATACTGTTTACCATCACCTCTCTGTACGGCTACTCTATAATCCAGTTGGACCCATCCGCTCTGTCACTTCTCACCTGGGTTAATTAAGCATGCTGCGTAACGAGCGGGATGCGGTGCCCTCTGGAGGTCGGCATGACCCGCGCACCGGACGGCCTTGTCGCGACACCGTGATGCTTATCCCTTGCCCCATTCTTCAGGAGGATCCAATTCGGTGGTGTGAGCCTCCATAATCAAAGGTGCTTTACAGAGAATGAGGCTGATTGAGGATTTATGCAGTCCTTTATCAAGAGTGATTGTTTACCTTGGCTCTAGCAGATTGGATTGAAACGGGTCTCCGCAGTAATCCATACAGAAGAGAGCAGAATCGAATCATTGCTTTTTTTCCCCATTCTGGGACAAAGTGCAAAACTCTTATATCAAGTCAAAAGCAGTTTAATTCACCCAGTGTGTGGGGTCGTAACCGTGGTGGGGGCGATGGGAAACAGACTAAGAGAGAATGCTCCGGAATGTTCCAGTATTTCACCGTGTTCTAGTGTCTCTTCCAGGGGTTTTTTGGTGTCCATTAAATTCCTGACCATTCCTGAGCCACAGATGGGATATCTGGTTAAATGAATAGCTCCAGTTAAACCTGCAGCATTTACAAGATTCATTGTGGGATGATGCCCCCTCTCCAATAGCGTGGGCAGTCACGTGATTTCCAGTCCGCCCCCCCACACCCCCCCGCCCCTCAGTCCAAACCGCCAGCTACTTATTATCTTACTTCTGCAGAATGATGTTTGAGCCTAAACCGTCCATGTAACACATTCCTTTGTCCAAAGTGGCTCCGTAGCGCCATGCGGAGGCTCTGGAGGGGACTGCGGTGGACGGCAGCTGCGGGTAACCGGCGGGAATCCGGCTGCCTTCGATCGCATGGCTGTGTTTACTCCCGTCACGGAAATAAACTTCGGGGGCCCGGAACGTCAGAGAGACGGGAACGCTCTCTGTCCGCCAGCACCCGGTGACCTACCGACGTGACCGTGAACCATCGCACGACCGCTGAAGGGGGGGGGGGGGGCGAGTGCAGAAAGTAGAGTGGTTGAAGTCAGGGTGAGGGGTGCGCTGGCATTGCGCAGAAGGGGCAGCCGCAGCCGGAATGCGCTGAATCACGCTGTCCGATAGCTGCACTGCCAGATTGCTGCCGTCTGCCGCTTGGACCCTCAGTAACACAATACGACACTAAATGGCTTTTCAGAAAGCGATCTCCCGGCCCCCCATTACTAATTCATGGCTCCGGTCGATTTAACCTTGAGGCCTGGCTTGTTTGGATGGTACAGGGAAGAAAGTCAGGGGTGTTGAGGTGATATCGGTGTCATTGGTAATGGGGAGGGGGGGGAGGTCCGGTTACCATCCTTGAGGGGTGAGTGTATGTGAATCGATGGACCTGGGGTGGAGGGGCTGGATCGGATGGCGAGCATGATCTCGGAGAAGTGAGGACAGCTCTGGGCCGAGATGTAAACAAGGTCAGCGTGTGACCCCTCACAGAAGCGGGGTGGGGGGGGGAGTCTGAAGCCTAGGATGAGGGATGGAGATCTGCTGAGCCTGTGTGAGATTAATAATGACCTGTAAAATTGCAGAGATAAAGCCACCTAATGTTTCAGATGGGGGGGGCAATGGCTGAGGAAGGTGAGCATATGTGAGGGAGAATTAAAATGACAGTGAGCCACCTCACTGCACTGGGGGGGGGCACCGTAAAAGCCAGATCGTCAGCCAGGCATCCGCTGGGACACATCCACCCAAAACAGACCGGCTGGCCCCCCTCCCTGGCCACGGCCTGCTCCCCGCTGCTTGGGACTCTTGCTAGCGAGTCACAAAGCTTTTTTGATTTTTCTATTTATTTATTTATCTATCTTTGTACAGAGTGAGGTGAGGAAGCAGGGAGGGAGGGTTTTTTTTTTAGATGTGAGCGGAGAAGCGGGGGGAGCTGAGAGGGTGGGGGCAGCGTAAAGCTGGTCCAGGCTGCCGCCCATCTCCCGGCCTGCCCTTGCTGGCCTGCTGCCGTGGCAACACAGCTGATCCCCCTGTAAGAGCGACTAGAAAATTCCTCTGTGCCGCCTCTACATGAAACACCTAATTTTCCCGGCCTGTTACTATAAAAAGTCTGAAATGGTCAAGTGGTCGGCACTCGGTATACAATCACATCATATTGTACAGGAGTAACGTCAATCGGATTAGCTATAGTGCAGCTAAAAGGCCCGTTAGCCTGCAGGCTAAGCCGGCAGCGTAAACACAGCCCGTCTTCCTGGGGGGTCCAGCTCGCCGCTGACATCACCCTCAGTCCCCTTTCCTTATCGGACTTGAGCCCCAAGCGGGCTGGTTACGGCATAACTGCGGTCAGTCGAGTCTTTCGCAACGGTGAAGAATTTACCTGTAGATTCCGGAAAACATCGCAGAGAGTCCTTCACCTGGACGCAGCACGGGGTGGGGGGTGTGGGGG